CACATGGATCTATGTCTGACTTGTCTCCGGGCCACAGTCAAAGAAGACACCCTGCCTGCTGTTTAATATTAGCATTGGTTGAACCTTACAAAACCAGTTCCCATGGCTTCACCTTGACCCTGCCCTCCCAGAGCTGCCAGGAGGGCCCCTCCCACCAGAGGCTAAAATGAATTCACACACCTCATTGACACTTTTCACGCAGCACTTCATAGTTATTGGTATTGTGAGAGAGCCCTTACGTTTGAAAAATGCATCTAGAATAGGTTATGCATCTTTTGGTGTGATGTTGGGTTTATAAGTAAAATAGCCCACTAGTGCACATGAGGAGAGGGGAAACAGAATGGCCATGAACTAATAAATAATGATAAATAAATTATGATGACAGATGAGGGAAGGGGAAGAGGTTTATCCAGCTTCATAACACTGTCTTTTTTATTTTTATTTTACTATTATAATTTTTTTGATAATTTTCTCCCAAGGATATTTTTTGCCCACTGATCTTTAGAGAGAGTGCAAGGAGGGAGGGAAGAGAGAGAGAAAGAGAGAAACATCGATGTGAGGGAGACACATTTATCGGTTGTCTCCCACACGACGCAACCAGGGCTAGGGATCAAATCGAAACTGAGATTTGTGCCCTTGACCGGAACTGAACCTGTGACTCTTTGGTCCGTGGGCCGACGCTCTAAATGCTGAGCCAAACCGGCCAGGGCCCATTTTTAATTTTTTGATGTTACTCCACAGTGGCTGCCCCAGTCTGCATTCCCACCAACAGTGAACGAGGGCTCCCTTCTCTCCACACCTTCGCCAACACTTGTTTGCTGATTTCTTGATGCTAGCCATTCTGACAGCTGGGAGGTGATATCTCACGGTGGTTTTCATTTGCATTTGCCTGATAATTAGTGACATTGAGCATCTTTTCATGTGCCTATTGGCCATCTGTGTGTCCTCTGTGGAGAAGTGTCTATTTAGGTCCTTTACCCATTTTTTAATTGGATTGTTTGTTTATTTGGTGTTGTTTCATAAGTTCTCTATACATTTTGGATATTAACTCCTTATTAGATGTATTATTGCCCTGGCCGGTTTGGCTCAGCAGTTAGAGCATCAGCCTGTGGTCCAGAGAGACCCGGGTTCGGTTCCCGCTAGGGGCACGTACCTCGGTTGCAGTTTGTCCCTGGCCCTGGTTGGGTCATGCGGTTGGCAGCCACTCAATGTGTCCCTTTCACATCGACGTTTCTCTTTCTCTCCCACTCTATCTGAATGAAAAAAGGAAAAAAGTTCTCAGGTGAGGATAGATGTATTATTGGTGAATATGTTCTCTCATCATCGGGTTGTCTTTTCAATGAATGATGGTTTCTTTTGCTGTGCAAAAACTCTTTCGTTTGATGTGGTCCCATTTGTTTATTTTTTGTTTTCCTGGCCCAAGGAAATATATCAGAAAAAAAATATATTGCTTTGAGAAATGTCCAAGATTTTACTGCTCATGTTTTCTTCTAGGATTGCTATGGTTTTGAGTCTGACATTCAAGTCTTCAATCCATTTTGCATTTATTCTTGTGTGTTGTGGAAGAAGGTGGTCTAATGAATATCACTGCTCGTGCTTCCTGGTACAGGGAAGTAGTGACTTTCCAAAGACCTCTGTCAGGCAGGTTGTGAAATAATAGAAACATATCTATCTGTCTAATCTGCCACAGCTCTGGAAACCCTCACGGTCTAAGTGATAGGGCACTAGGAGCCTCTTGTAATAGTTGGTCTTTCACACGGAGCTCCTAAATGCTTTGGAATTTCCTGGGCCATAGGAATGTCTTTAGTTTCAAAAGTCAGGTGACTTTGGGTGGGGTTTATGGCTGGCTTCAGGATGGGTGCTGGTCACCAGAAAGGTCAAGCCCTGATGAGAAGTTTGAAACTTTCAGCCCACCCCACCTTCCAGAAAGGGGAGAGGGTCTGGACATGGAGTTCATAATCAGCTTTGCCTTCGTAAGTCTCGAGTTCAGAGAACTTGGTGGAGACATCCATGTGCCGGGAAGGTCGTGCACCCAACTCCAGCAGGACAGAAGCGCCTGTGCCCAGACCTCACAGACCTTGCCCTTTTCTGATATTGATCATATCCTTCATTATATCGTGAACTGGTCAACCCCAGTGTTTTCTTGAGATCTGTGAGCTGTTCTAGTAAATGATCGAATCCAAGGAGAATGTCATGGGAACCTCTAGTTTGGAGCCAAGTCAGACAGAAGTTGTGGGTGGCCTGGGGACCTACTGTCTGTAGTTAGAGTCTGAAGTGGGGGGCAATCCTGTGGAAGTGAGCCCTCAACTTCAGGGGTTCTCACGAATGGCAGTTAGTGTCAGAATCAGTTAAATTGTAGGACACCAAGCTGGTATTGGAGAGAGTTGCTTGGTGTGGGGAAAACAAACTCACCCGTGCCCTGGCCGGTGTGGCCCAATTGGTTGGGCACCCTCCTGTGCACCCGGGGGTTGCCTGTCTGGTTCCAGTCCAGGTTTCGGACTGGATCCCCAGTAGGGAGCGTGCGGGAGGCAGCCGATTGATGTTTCTCTTTCACATCGATGTTTCTATCTGTCTCTCCCTCTCTCTAAAAAAAAATAATAAATCACTAAAAACATATAAAGAAATCAGCCCTGGGAAGAGATGCACGGGGCAGAATCCTGGAGAGTTCCAGTTGTCCCAGCGGAACTGGGGGACAGCACTGACTTCTCCCAGCAAAACTGAGTGACAAATGCATGAGATAGTACCAACCAGGGAAGCTCACCCAAGCCATGTTCTCCAATATTTTTAACAGGGATGAGCCACATGGACTAGGTTTATGAACCATGTGGCTGACCTTAATTTCTAGCCCTTCCAGAGGCTGAGCTGATACCACGTGGCCCAAAGCCCTCACCATAAATCATAGTGCTAGTATACATTATCTGGCAGGGTCCAAGGCCCCAAGTAAACAAAGACATTCTTATCGGGCAGGACATTCCAAGGACTTAAAGACTTCCTCTCCTAAGGGCAAAGGCCAGACCCCTATTTACAGGGTAAGGTCCATCCTTCACTGCACAGACAAGAAAAGCTCCCAGGGCTAAAGAGAGAAGTAAGGTTCAGATAGAAAAATATAAAATAGTGGAAACAAGAGAATCTCTTCATAAACCCATCCTGGTGCAATGTCAGTGCCATAGAGGTGACAGAAAGTCCCTCTGCCATGACAAGTAATGGAACCAGGCCTCCAAACTGCTGAGGAATTTTGAACCTGTAATTCTGGGCCTAGAAACTATCTCATCTAGTGTGAAAGTGGACAAAGAACAGTCAACACTTACAACCTCAAAAAGACATCTTGATAATGTAAAAATAACAGTACAGCAGACAGACCATAGGAGGTAGGGGGCAGGGGGGAATAGAGAGCAGGGTGGAGCAGCTAATATACCTACAGGCTTGAATGTCAGGAAGTGGAGGCAATAGGCGTATTCTTTAGAATTACAAAGGTTACCAATAAATAGTAACAAATCAAATAAAAATCGCTTGCAAAACTTGGGAAAGGAAGTAAAGGATATAGAATGTGTTAGGCCTTAGCCAGGTAGCTCAGTTGGTTAGAGCATCGTCCTGATATGCCAAGGTTTTGGGTCCAATCCTGATCAGGGCACCTACAAGAATCAACCAATGAATGCACAAATAAGTGGAACAACAAATACATGTTTCTCTCTCTCTCTTTTCCCTTCCCCTCTCTCTCTCTCAAAATCAATCAATTTTTTAAAAAAATATGTGTTAAATTCACACAAAGTGGGGGTGGCAGTAGAAAGTCAAATCATAATATTTTTTAAAATTCAATTTACTAACCAAGGATTAGAGGTATACGCTTGTATTTGGCATCATTAGGTTAATGTGGAAGAAATAAATGCAGAAAAGGTCAAAAGTGGTCAACCTTTGAGGAGTAGGACTAAAACTAGAGGTGGGAAGACGGACTTCTGTTTTCAATATGCCCCTTTCGATGTAGTCTAAGTAATCTCCCCAAGAGCATGCCATTCTTCTAACTAAAAGGAAGAAAAGGTAATTAGGTCACCCTGGCTGCTGCAGAGGACAGTTGGAAGGGAGAAGTATAAAATGTTTTCAGGAATTCATCTCTTTAAAAAAATTTTTTTAAATCCTCACCCGAGGACATTTTTGCATTCATCTTCAGATAGAGCAGGAGGGAGGAAGGGAGGAAGGAAGAGAGAAACATCGATATGAGAGAGACACATCCACTGGCTGCCACCCATACAACCCCAACCCGGGCCCGGACAAACTGCAACCAAGGTACACGCCCTTAGCGGAGGTACACGCCCTTAGCGGGAACCAAACCCAGGTCTCTCTGGTCCGCGGGCCAACGCTCTAACCGCTGAGCCAAACCAGCCAGGGCAGGAACTCATCTCTTAATGAGACCAGAGGCTTATTATTTTCCGCAGCAGTTCATGTATGAATGGATGGATATTAATTATTCCTGGAGTGAGTCATCAACTCTATGTTTATGTAACATTTATAAAAGATGACAATACTTATAATCCTCATTCATGTGAATGAGTGATTAGGTAAAGAAGTTGTGGTTAGAGCAGCACCGATCAAGCCCAGAGCTCCTTCCAAAGCCCCTTCCAATGCCCCAGACCACACAGCGAACACACTTCAAGAGCCGGCCATCAGCTCCACCATCTGGGGAGGCTATGAGGACCTTGTCTGACCCTGAGGGGCAGGGCACATGTGTGTGTGTGTGTGTGTGTGTGTGTGTGTACACACACAAGTGAAAGGAAGCAAAATGTGCCCCTGCTCTGGGCTGTGACCACCTACTCAGAACTTCCCCTCCAGCGCATTTCTCATTCTCAGTTGCCCGCCCTAACCTTCAGGATGGGTTTTTTCAAAAGATGCCCTCCGGGCCACCCCAGCCCAAATCACTAGCAGGGTCGAGGGGCGGGACTGGAAGGGGGCTCCCCAGCCCAGCTCCCTGCCTCCTTTCTTCCCCCACAGTGTACCACTGGGCGGAGATGCGGGCCAAGATGAGCCTCCTGGGCTTCGACGCCGAAGCCGTCAAGCCGCTGAACGAGGAGGCGGCCGCCGAGCTGGGCGCCGAGCTGCTGGGCGAGGCCACCATCTTCCTGGCAGCCGGCACCTGCCTGGTGCTGGAGTACTGGCGCCAGAAGACGCAGCAGCGCCGCAAGAAGAGAGCGCGGCAGGTCGCCTGGGAAGCGATGCGGGAGGACGTGGACCGCCTGGCGCTGGAGCTGGAGGCGCTGACGACGCGGATGCGGGCGATGCCGCAGCTGAGCGCCCTAGAGGAGCTGCAGGCCCAGATACAAGAGGTGCGTGCCCAGCTCTGCATCCCGGACGGGGACCGGCCGGCCGCGCCCCCCACAGGGCCCGGGTCCGAGGACTGAGGCCGCAGGGCCCTGGTCGTGGACATGACACCTCAGACATGGCCTTCTGTCCGCCCTGTCCCTTCCTAAACTGGTCTAGCTAACACCACCCGGTCCCTTTAGGGGCAGAATGGATCCTAGACTGGGGCTAATCCAACTAGGCTTTTTCCCCACACTAGATGGGCCAGCAGCATATAGAGACCTAGCTAACCGTCACACCTCCATGTACCTAAGGCGTAGTCCTTTCCCATTACACAGAAACACTCTTCACTCCCTTTTTTGACCATTGTAATGAAAATGCAGCAACTTCTACCTCACCTTTTGGTGGGGGGTGGGGGTTGAATGGTGGTGGTGAGAAATATAAGGATAGATCTTGGAAAGCTTTAGCGCCAATAAGTCACCCTGTGGCACCTGACTTTAGCCCACCATTGGTACCTCTACTGGGGTCCTCCCCTCCTTAAGTGGATCGTTCCAACAGAACCACTACCACCACCCTTACCTGTGGCACAACCCACTGGAAAGGCTGTGCAAGGTCCTCCCAGATCCCCCCCTTCTGGGATCTGTTCCAGCAGGACATGGCCCTTTGGACTGAAAAAAATCGGTGCTGCCCGGGGCTGAATAATTGTTTTCATCAAAGCCCCATTTACCAGTAGTTCTGGCCTTTCATAGGGATCCACCTGTTCTCCTGCAACGTGGGTAACTGTCATAACCCCCATCTTCCATCCAAACCTGTTCTTCAGGGTACTCAGGGATTCTCCCATCCTTCTTGCCTTTGGACTGGGTCCCCCTGTCCTCCCTCAACCTTCTCCATGCAAAAGCTTCCTCCATGGGACCACTGGCTCCTCAGTCTTAAGTTCCCACCCCCATCCAAAGGGAACATTCCACCAGGTAGTGTTACCTACCTAACCTACCCCCTGCCAACCCAATGAACCACTGCTGGGGGTGTGTATGAGCCCTGCGACTTCTGAATTCTATTTTTTTAAGACTGTAAATGTTTTCTAATTAAAAGAGTTCTGAGGTAAAGGAGTCATCTTAATGTGTCTGAGAACCATGGTGTATGTCGGTAAAATGGGTACAAGTGTCATTAAAACTAGGAGAGAAGCTGAGAGGGTTCTGATGGGAAGGGGGCAAAGTCATCCTATGAGCCCTTTCCAGATGGGGAAGCAAAGGCATTTGCCCCAGGCCACACAGTCTGTGAGGGGTAGCCCCTGGCTTTCTCTAGGATGGTGGATTGGTTGGCACTGGGGAGGAGGGGAAGAAAGGAGTGGGGAAGCTGCCTCCGCAAGGGGCATGGAGGGGGAGGGGGAGAGGGAGGTCTGTTGACAGGCCCAAAGGGGCAGAGCCCACTCTGCCTGAAGGAGCCTCAGGGAACTAGAACAGGTGCAGGGTGGGAAGAAAGATGAGGGGCAGGCCGATTGCTGGAGCGGGGATGACATACCCCATCCTCATCAGAGCAGCCCTTCAAATCACTCCAGAAATCTTAGCATTTATAAAAACTGGCAGATTTATTCTGCAGGGGCCCACTTTCAAGAAGCTAAAGGTGAAGGGAGAGGGGAGCTTTCCTCCCCCTTTCCTTTCTCCCTCATCTTATTTTCCCTAAGGGGGTAAAAATGGCCTGGACCCCAAACCTACCCAAATAAAAAAATCAAAAAACTGAGGTTCTAAAAAGTTACAGCATCTTAATTCCTCATAGAAAAGGGGAAGGAGCCAGAGGGAAGGGATGTCCCTTGGGGTGAGGGGAGGTGCCCCCAGCCTGGTGGGACATCCCCCCCTTAAAAAGCTGCCCGGAATGGGACAAGCCTGGAGCTATATTTAAAAACTCCCACACCCCATTTTATCAAAATCAAAGAGGAAAAAAAATTCCCTTCCCCCCAAAAACCTAAATATATATATATATATTTTTTCTCCTTAAAAAAACAAAAATTCGAAGGCATTAAGCGTTAAAGTGAAATCTAGAACAAGGGAATGTGAAATTCCCTCCTTCCTTCCCCCTTACTGTGGGGTTAATTGGTGCATCCCAGCAGAGGAACCCGCCCCAAGGGGATGGCAGAGGGGAAGGACCAAAGGGAGCAAAGGGTGGGGGCTCCCCCAGCCAATCAGCAGCCAGTATGGGCGTGGGCATGGCAGAAGCCACACCTGCTTGGAATTTTCCAAGTGGGATAGGGAGTAGGGAAGACGCATTCCTTCAGCCAATTCCCAGTCAAGTAGAGGCAGGGAAAGCAGGGTGACAGGCGGGGTGTGTGGAAAGGAGAAACGGGATCTTCTGGGGCCCTGTGGTCAGGGGGAACCCCTCTTCCTCAACTCCTGGACAAAGGCTGGAAGGAAACAAAGGGTAGAGGTCAAGGGCAGAGCCTCTTCCCCCTTCCCTTCCAAAACAAGGCTCTTTCCAAGGGACAGGATACCTCCAAAATAAATATTTAAGAAACAAGCTCACCTTCAATTATTTCCTCTTTCACTTTCTGCAATTCCTTCCTCACCTCTTCCAGAAGCTCCTGAAAATAACGGGGTGCAACCAATCAGGAAAGGTGCCTGAACTTGCAGGTACTAATCTCTTCTTTCTCTTTTAAGTGTTTTTTAAAAATTATGTTTGTATTGATTTTTTTTTTTAGAGAGAGAGGAAGGGAGAGATAGAAACATCAATGTGAGAGAGAAACATCAATCATCTGCCTCCTGCATGCTCCCAGTCCGGGCATGTGCCCTGACCCAGAATCAAACCAGGGCCTCAGTCTATGGAACGATGCTCAATCCACTGAGCCACACCAGCTGGGCTAATCTCTCCTTTCTATTTTTTCCTTTATTGATTTTAGAGAGAGAAGAAAGGAGAGGGAGAAAGAGATAGAAACATGATGGGAGAGAACATCAATTGGCCGCCTCCTGCATGTCCCCCTCTGGGGATCGGGCCCACAACCTGGGCCTGGGCCCTGACCAGGAATCGAACTGGCAACCTCCTGGTGCATGGGTCGACACTCAACCACTGAGCCACACCGGCCAGACTAATCTCTCCTTTCATAATGACTGAGGGCTATACACACATACACTATGACCTCACTGACAAGGCCACAGAGGGACTGGAGAATTCTGGATCCTTTGAGCCATAAGAAGAGTACTGGAGAACATTCAGTGCCAGGGACGGTAAATACATTCTATTCTCCTGCCAACTCCACTTGGTAATGGATATCTGGGGCTAGTGTGCTGAAAAGGACTCTGGGTACTCATCAGGAATGTGTGCAGTGATAGATCCGTAAGGTCCGTCAAGGGCACGGACATGTCACCCCGGACCTGATCAAACCTCTCCACTTCTCAGACTAGACAACAGCGTTTCTAGGTCTTTTCTAGAATCACATGGCAGGTCCGTTGCAGAGTTTAGACCCAGACCTCTTTTTTTTTCCTGTGGCCCCATTCTAGCTCCCAAACCTCACCCTCAGCCTTCTCCCCAAGCTACCTGTTTCACCCTCTCCAGGTCTGACTCATCACCAGAGCTGGGTGTAGAGGGGTGGGCCTCGGAAATAGTCACTGAAGACGACGACTTCATCCTGGGAGAGATGGCAGGGTTTGGGACAGAAATGAGGTGAGAGAGGGCCTGTCTCCCCTGCCTCCCACTCCAGGAACATTATGTTCCTCCTACAAATTCGGCAAACCCAACTGCTTTGGGTAGGCGGGGCCCGGTACTGATGACCCACCTTGGCAAGGTTGTGCTGTTCTTCTCCCAGGGTCTCCGCACAGATTCTGGGGGACAGGCAACACATCAGAAAGATAGGGACCAGGACTGCCCCACCTCAATCTTTCTCCCACAGCCTCCTCAGCCCCTCTTCAAAGGATCATCTCAGCAGACTACAATCCCCAGCACTGTCTGCACAGACTCTCTCAAGAGTGCATTCTCTGTGAGGACAAGGCATCCTGGGACTTGTAGTTCCCATGGCTAGACTGGGCTCCCACTCACCACTGTGGGCTGGGACTCTGGCTTCTGGCTCCTCCTGCTGGTGGGAAATAAAACTGTCATGAGCCAGTGCCTGCCACACCTCTGTTCATTTTCCTCTTCCAGGTTCAATCCGGCCCATCCCTGTCACACCACCTCCCCAATATCCCTACCCGAATGGTACAGCCTAAGGTGTATGTGGCAGGAAGAGCCCCTAACTCACATTGGCAGATTCATCCTTGGGGGGTTTCTCCCCAACTAGTGTGGCTTTCCTTCTGCAGGAGGGAAAGGCAAAAACAGATGGCTTCAGCCCTCCTTCTGCCACTCGACAAGTCCCCTTCCCGGAGTTCAGAAAGGTGGATTCGAGGGTACAGAGTTATGAAATTTGCGAAGGCTAAGAAAACTTCATTTTAGAAGTTACAGAGAGTCCTATATCATAGTGGGTGGGGGTTTTATGCTTCTCACATTTGGGAATCACAAAATTCTAGAGGTGGAGGGCTCTACCTTAGATACTGGGATTCTAACCCGAGTTTCTAGGTTCTGAGGCAGGAATTTCTAAGGTCCTAGAATTCAGAACATTCTAGAAGCTACCAGGTGGTTGCAAACCTTCTCCATCTCAGGAGAATGCAATCGCCAGCATTATATCCCAAACCTCACTATCAAAGGGGAAATTTTCATCCAAAGAAACAAACAAAAAACGTGGGAACCTCAGCCTCCCCCCCCCCCACCGGGCCCTACTGGCCCACGGGAGTACGGCTGGTCTGAGGGGTTTGCTCCCAGAGCTTTCCAGGGGCTTGGAGGGCCCCAGGCTCAGGCTCACCTCCGGGCCAGCATGGCGTTCATCTCTTCCATGAGGCCCCCGCCTGTGCTTCGACTGCTCTCAGCTTTGGGGGCTGGGGGCCCCCCTGAGGCCTCCTCCTGCTGGAGAAATTACAAAGAAGAGGGGGAGCTTTAGGGCAGGCCTCCTGGCCTCACAGCCCCTCCTAAGATGTCCCCAGGCAACTCTGGCCTCATCCCTCATTATTCCCCCAGGGCCCCAATCTCCCCACACCCTGCCACGTCTGGCCCCCTCACCTTGCTGACTTTCCTGAGTTTGGCTCCAGCAATGGCTGCAGCCAGGCCAGGGGCCCCTGTCCCTCCACCACTGGGGCCTGCTGCTGTGGGGAGAGGGGGTGGAGGGGGTGGGCCTCCCCCAGCTCCATGCCCTCCAGCTGAGACCCCTGAGGGGGGCAGACCAGGGGGTGGGGGGGGACCTGGAGGAGGGGGAGGTCCTGGAGGCGGGGGTGGTCCCCCAGCTGGGGGAGCAGGTGGGGCTCCTGAAACAAACACAAAAAAGGGAGCAGCGATGAGAGAGAAGCCTCATTCTCTGTTATCCAGCTGGCCCACCTCCTCCTCTGGGGACCCCCAAACACTCCCTCCCAAGACCAGGTGAGCAGTCACCTGCATTGGAGACCCGACGCTCCCGCTCCACGTGCTCTGGCTGCCTGAGGAGGGAGGAGGGAGCCGCCATCACTCAGGGCCCTGAGGATGGTCAGCAACCCCTGGCCTCTCTGAGGTCTCCAGTGAGACTGGCTCCTAACCCCCACCGGCTGCCTTTCCCAGGGGCCAGGAAAAGGGGGGCGGCAGGGACAGGGTGAGACCCAGATGCAAGCATTCTAGTCGTCAGAATATCAAAAACAATTGAATTACAAAATGCCCAAGATCCTTTAAACCATCAACTTTGGACTCTGAGAATCTGGGGGGGCCAGGATTTGAAGGGTCAGACGGTTCTGCAACTCTGGGTGTCAGGAGTTTCTCAAACCCCAGGAGGCAGGACTCCCTGAAAGCTGTCAATTTCTAGTCCCAGGGGAGCTGGAACATTTTTGGAAACTGAAAGTTGGAGAGTTCTGAATTCTAGGAGTCGGGGGCGTGGAACATCCTAGAACTCTGGCAATGGTAAGCTTCCCCACACAGGGACTGGCCCCACCTTTTCTGATGTTCCACCTCCTCTGGGGAGGGACCGTTCTGGACAGACCAGGTGGAAGGTGCTGCCTGCGGTTGCGGCGGTGGCAGCGGCGCTGGAGGTCCACCTACTGGAAAGGAGAGTAGAAAAGGTGATGACTCATCCCTGGAGCCCTGCCCTGCCTCTTGGCAATTTCCCTCAGCTCTCCCAGGCCTCTCAGGAATCCCGCCAGAGGTGCTGGCTTCCTTCTTCCTCAGGAACCCTGACACTCCGGGCTGGGGTGTGGGCACCTGGGCAAACTTCTGGGCGAAGGCTCAGCATCAAATTAACTGAGCTATGTGGTGAGTGCTGCCACAATGCCCACGTGACAGATAGGGGACAATGAAGGCCCAAAGGGGGCAGTCACTTGCAGGCCAGAATTTGGAGGAACAAGACGGATTCAGGCTGACTCCAACATCTACCCTTAATCAGTGTCTCAGCCGCTCAGACACCCCCAAGCCCAAGAACCCTAGAAAGGCTGACAGCCTGTTCCTTACCCACCCAGGCTTCCGGCTCCCATGGGCCCGAACCACCCACTCTATTTTTTTCTGTGCCCCCAGACAAGCAAGCCCTTCCCACTGGCACTGAAGCTGCTCCAGAAAGCAAGCACCTCTGCCAGCTGGTGACCTGAAGTTCTCCAGCAACATTCCCAGACCCTGGGTGCACGGCGGTCACTGAGCGGCTCATTAGAAATGCAGAGGCTCAGGCCCTGGCCAGTTTGGCTCAGTGGTTGAGCGTCGGCCTGCGGACCAGAGAGTCCCAGGTTCGGTTCCCGCTAGGGGCACATACCACAAAAAAAAAGAAAGAAAGAAATGCAGAGGCTCAGGCCCTACCTCAGCCCAACTGAAGTGGAACCTGCGTTTCACCCAGGTGTCCAGATGATTTGTGGGTACGTTCAAGTTAAGAAGTGCCACCTTGGCCCTGGCCAGTAGCTCAGTTAAGAGTGTCGACCTGATACGCTAAGGTTGTGGGTTCGATCCTAGGTCAGGGTGCATACAGGAATCAACCAATGAATGCATGAATGAGTAGAACAACAAATCTCTCTAAAATAAGTTTAAAAAAAAAATTTTTTTTTTTTTTTTACAAACTACTCTTGGAGCCCTGGCCAGTTTGGCTCAGCGGTTAGAGCGTCAGCCCACGGACCAGAGAGACTCAGGTTCGGTTCCTGCTAAGGGTACGTACCTCGGTTGCAGTTTGTCCCCGGCCCGGTTGGGGGTTGTGTGGGTGGCAACCAGTCCATGTGTCGCTCTCACGTCGATGCTCCTCTCTCTCTTCCTCTCTCTCTCCTTCCTGCTCTATCTGAAATGCAAAAATGTCCTCGAGTGAGGATGAGGATAAAAAAACAAAAACAAAAACAAAAAAACTACCCCTGGAGATGTTTTTAATATAGATGTCTGAGAACTAATTGATGATGACATGAGCCAGGACAGAGGGCACAGAAGGAGCCCGGCAAGAGCGGGAAATAGCTACATTCTGACCCGGGAGGCAGTCACACAGGAGTGTCCTGCACCCTTAGGAACCGGTGTACAAGGGGCACACAGGAGCCCACACAAAGTCCTCCACATAACTGTCCGTGGTAGCAATGAATCAGCCCCATTTTCAGATGAGCAAACTGAGACCGGAGTGCTAACGTGGTGGCCCCAGGCCCCGGCAGGGCTCGGGGTCCGCCCGCCCGGTTTCTAACCTTCCAAGGCCTCTAGGGCACTGGCCATGCCTGAGGCGAACTGTGCCGCGTCCTCCTTGCTGCCGAAGTTGAGGCCCCAGACCTGGCGGGCGTCACGCCACTGGTGGAAGTTGGGGGTGGCCTGGTTATACTTGAGACCCCGAATGATGGCACAGTTGATGACCACCTGGCAGGAGCGGAAAGGTGGGTGAGGTGGGGGCGCCGGGGTCGGGGCGAAGCCCGGGGAGGGGGGCGCGGCCGGGGCGTCACCTGCTGGTCGGGCTGCATTTTCCGGCCGACCACGCGGAAGGAATTGGCCGTGGGGTTGTGGTAGATCTGGACTCGGCTGAAGACCTGGGGGCCCGTGCCTGCAGGCAGCCACCGTTTGTTGCCGTCATCATAAAGCATCACAGTGGCCCGGCTGGAGCAGATGACCGTCTCGCTGCCAGGAAATCGGGGGGAAGGGTGCGAGGCCAGTTAGCGGGGGCAGCGGGCACCCTTCCCCTGGGGCCGGTCACCTTCTTCTCCTCCTGGGTCCCCCTCGGAGATTCAGAGACAGTGTGAGAGGAAGAGAAACACATGGAGAGGCCCTGAGGAGACCCAGACAGTGACTGGGAAGGGAAAAAAACAGGCGGGCCCTGGCTGGTTTGGCTCAGCGGTTAGAGCGTCGGCCTGTGGTCCAGAGAGACCCGGGTTCGGTTCCCGCTAAGGGCTGGTTCCTCGGTTGCAGTTTGTCCCCGGCCCTGGTTGGGTCGTGTGGGTGGCAGCCACTCGATGTGTCCCTTTCACGTGGATGTTTCTCTCTCCCCCTCCCACTCTATCTGAACCAAAAAAAAAAAGGAAAAATGTCCTCGGGTGAGGATAAAAAAAGAAAAGAAAAACAGGCGGGACAGAGCAAGACGCGCTGGGGAGAGGCAAAGACACAAACTGGGGGTGTGAGACAGATGAGGAAAGAGAGGGACAGACAGGCAGGGAGAAAGAGACAGGGAGAAGACAGACAGGCAGACCGGAAGGGACAAACATACAGACTGACACAGACAGGGAGGTGAGAGGGAGGGTCCAATTGACAACGGGGAGACACACAGACAGACCAGGAGCGGTGAGGGCGGCGAGCGCGATGGCTGGAGAAGGACAGAAGGACAGCGCTATGGACAGTCAGAGAGGGACATGCAGGGAAGTGTGGAGCGAGAGCTGGAGGGGACCCAGGAGGAGGGCAGTGGGGATGGGCACTGAGAACGAGCCCCTGCCTGGCACTCTGGAGCTTCAGTTTCCCTACCTCTGCCAGGGTGCCGGGACCTCCAACCCCCACTCCTTGCTGCAGTCAGAGGAGGAAGCTGAGGCCCAGGGAGGGGAAGGGTGAGGCCTACAGCAAGTTGGGGACCAATGCTACACCCTAGCCTCTTCTTTTTCCTGCTGCCACCCACCCATCTACCCCAAATCACCCCCATGTGCCTCCCCAGGGCCCTCAGCATACACTCCCTACTCCGACAGGCCCATATCTTGGGCAGTGACCCAGACAGCCCTAGCCCTACCCTCAAATGCAGGAGACAGTCCAGTCTCCAGGCTGGTGACAACCTAGGGCCAAGCCCAGGGTGACCAGGAGCACCTTCCCCAGTCTGGGAATCACAGAAGACTTCTGGATCATGTGACACCTGACTCAGCCTTGGTAGGAGGGATAAAAAAAACAAAACTGGTTCAGAGTTCAGGATCTGATATCCAGAGACCTAGGTTCAAATCCCCGCTGAGCCACCTACTCCGTGTGACTTAGGCAAGCAACTCTCCCCCTTGAGAACTGCAAACTGGGGATGACAGTCCCCCCCTCCCAGGGCAGTGGGAGGAGTAAATGAGTCTGGGCACATAAAGGAAGCACTTGGCACAGTGCCTGGCATGTACTGAGCACTTAGTAACTGTCAGCACCCCTTTCACAGGTACCCGATCATCCCAGGACACCCCCACAATCCTTCTCGGGGCGTTCAACCTTCCCTCCCCCCAGTGAGGAAACCCAGGTTCCCAGACAGGAAGTGACTTGCCCAAGGTCACACATAGACGAGAGGAAGTGCTAGTCCCCACCTCACCCCACCCCCACCAAAATTTTTCCTGAAAAGAAGAAGTTGGTGGTCAGAGGTTTCTGGGGAGAGAAATAATACCCCACAGTTTCCGGGGAGATAAATTATACCCAGCAATGGCTCTGTCTTAACCAGGGCTGGGGGATGGGGTGTGGCAGACACTCAGGCTGTGAAGACAGGACAGGGAAAGTCCCTCAGCAGACCCAGCTCTGGGTTCCTAGGCCTGGGCTGAGCCCCGGACAGCCCCAAGTGTACATAATTGTGGCATCTCCTTACAGGCACTTTTGCTGACCAGGCACCCTAAGCCCTCTCCTTGTCACCCATTCTATTGTCACTGCTCCTTCGGGACGGGCACTGTCCCACCCTCAGTTTGCAAGCGGGGAGCGCAAATGGAGGCCCGGAAAGGATGAGTGACTTGCTGCCAGTCTAGTGAGCAGAATGAGGATTTGAACCCAGGCCACCTGCCTCCCGAGTCCACAGTCTTAACCACCAGGGACTGTGTGGGCCCTACCCAAACACCAGGTGCTGCTTCCAGACAAGCTCAGCCTCAGGGGCCGTTTCTGGCTCCCAGTGCCCCTGGCAGGGCAGGGTTAAGGTCTCGCCCACACCTGCCACCCACCACCAGGGCAGACTCTGGCCAGGAGCCCGGGGTTGTCTATGCTACCCCACCCTGGCTGCACTTTGCTCTCCCCAGCTGCCCCGCCCTGCCCTGCTGAGGCTCTGGCCTGGCCTGAGGGCGCCTGCTGAGTGACCCAGGCTGGTCCTACCCTCTCCAGGCTGCAGTGCCCCCATTACAGCAGAAGGATCCTGTTAAAACACCAATCAGATTGAGTCCCTCCTCTTCTCAGAAGCTCCCCTGGCTTGGGCAGAAAAACAAAAAGCCAAGATCTTTCTGTGGCTTTCGTGATCTGTGTGATCTCTGATCTCATCCCTTCCCTCCCCCCAGCTCGCTTTCAGCCCCTCTGGCCTCCAAGCTGCTCCTTCTACAGGCCAGGTACATTCCTGCCTCCAGCCTAAAGCACTAGTTCTTCCTCAGCCTGGATCCTCAGGCCTCCGCTTAGACAGCACCTCTTCCTCTGACCACCAGGAAAGTTCCCGTCTCTCTCATGGCATGCTCCACGGCCTAGCATCGGCCCCTACTGGCAAATCCGTCTCCCCTACCAAAACGTCGGGACCATGAGGGCAGGGATTTGTGTCCTTACTGTTCACTGCTGTGTCCCCAGAACCCAGAATGGTGCCCAGCACATAGGCGCTCATCAGTTGTTAAATCTGCCATCGATAAAGAAAAACTTAGCAACGGCAGCTGAGTTACTGGTTAGCCTGTGTCCCAGACACTGTTCTAGGTACTGCGCTCCATTTTCCACAAAGAACCTTGCAATGACCTCGTGAGAGGGACTCTGGTCCTTACCCTTATTACAGACGAGGAACCATGGACCCAGAGAGGTGAAGACACTTGTCCCGGGTCACACAACAAGGCGGCAGAGGGGCTCGCATTTGAAACCAAGTCCACCCAAGTTCTTAACTTCATTTAAAGGTGAGGGAACAGCTAAGCTGAAATCTGAAAAAGCCATGGGCTAAAGTGTGTGTATCAGAGGTTTTAAAAAAAGGTGAGGAGGCTATAAATACATCCACACACAGTGGTGATTTTTGCAGAGGTTGCTTCTCAGGAGACTTACGGTGACTGCCTCCGAGGACAGGCACTGGGGACATGAGGAGGGAGGAAGTGGACATGTCACACTGTTTACTCTTTATAACTTGCTTGATTCTTTTTCCTTTTTTTTTTTTTCCACTGTGGGCTGGTATTACCTATAAAAAAATCATTCATTTCTTAAATTCAAAAAATAAAACTATAAACCAGGCAAAACCTGTAATGGAAAAGTCCCACAGCCAGGAAGCGGGGACTGAGGTTCAAACAGGGTCTGCCCCATTCCAGTGGTCCCTTAACGTCTCTCATGAGAGAGCCTTAATCCCCAGCCAACCCAGGACCCAGCCCTCTCCATAGGTCCCCTCATTTGGAAAACTCTAGCATGTGGTGGATGAGAGAGGGTTCAAGTCAACCCCTTGCTGTGTGGCTTCACCTCTCTGAGCCTCTGTTTCCAGCCCCGGAAACCATAACTCACTGGTTTGTTGTAACGATTCAAAGAGATAAGAAAAGCCCTAAAGCTCACAACCTGGAATTTGGCAGTCTCCATACAAGGAAGCTGAGAGGCAAAAATAAGGGAGAAAGCTTCTCATCGATGAAGGCAATCAAGCATAGTTGCTCTGATTTACTCAAACCTTCCAGGTTAGAGTCTTGCCGGTCCCTTTAACCCTCACTCCCACCCAAGACTTACCCTATAGCTTCCTTAAACCATAAAACCTATGATCCACACCCCCCCACACACACACACACAAACCTTTCCAAACTACACATCTTTTGAAACAACCTGTACAGGGAACCAGATCTAGGGTCTGTGTGGATTTCATAGGCTCACCCTAGTCCCTCCTCCCTGACCAGTCTGTTTCCCATAAATGAACAAGAAGGCAAAGATTCCCACTTGGGTTTCTCTTTTCATATCTTCATTAACTTAACTGTTCCTACAACGAAAGTATGTTACCTACATTTTTTGAAAAGGTCACTAAAGGTTTTATTTCCCTTTTTCTTTAATAGAATAATACTCTAGAGACAGTCAGTCCTGAGTTCAAATTCAGGCCTACTTCCAAACTCTTAGGCAATTTGCTTCATTTGCCCGTGCCTCAGTTTCCCCGCCTGTAAACTGGAGGGCGGCTGCAGTCACAGTAATATCTCTCTTAGAACTGATGTAAGGATTAAATGGAATCAGGCACCTAGTATAGTGCCTGCACAAACTAGATTCGTGATCAAATGGTCTCATTAATTTTTAAAATAAAAATAATAGCAGTAATAACTACTATTGGAAGAGGAAAAAAATGGACCCAAATTCTTATTCAGAGTCCTGTCTGCCCTGAGATTGTCAGACCTCTGTCTAGCTGCCCGGCTTCCCCAGAATCCCAGCTCAGAGTCCAAGATACATTAGACACTCAACAAATATTTGTCAAACTGGGAGAAAAAGAACTATTATCTTGTAATTTTCCATCTTAACATCCTCTCTTTCAACTGCCCCCAAGACTGTCCCCATTCAAACCAGCCAGAAGTCAGAGGATCCCAGTCTCCTCTCCCTCAACATTGCTTAGGAATTTCTGATGGATCTTGTGCCAGGCTTGTCTCTCTCTGAGCCTCAGTTTCCCCAGCTGGATACAAAGGGGTATGGGTCGATTTGAATTCTAGCTCCTTTGGGGAAGGGGCACAGCCTAGAAAGTCTGGTGTGGCCATTGACAGGGAAGACCCCCCCCCCCCCCAGGAAGTGGAAGTAACCCCTGGTGGGACACCCTCAGCTCAACTTCTGCCCACCTCCCCAGAAGGTGGGAAGTTTGGCCTCAACCATTAGTAGGGGGCCTGTGGGAGGACCGGGGCCTCTGGGCCGAGCTTGGGAGTGGGGGTGGGGGTGGGAGGGCGGCCAGACACTGCTCCTGCCCTTTTACGGTCTCAGTGAGTGAGGCAGCACTAACTCGGACATCCGCCATCCGCCTTGCACAGTGCCTGGGACCGGAAACGCGGTGGGGTGGGGGTGGGGGGCAGCAAGGGCAAGGGGCTGGGCTGGGGCCAGTGGGAGAGGAGACTCTCCCGGGGAAGAGGGTGAAGGAAGAGAGCCTAGCTCCCCAAAACTGCCCTCTCTCCGGGGCAGACCATGAAGGGATGTTGCTGTAATGGAGGAAAGGGTAGGCAGGAAGTCTTGAGGCTGTCTGCGGGTGCCCCCTTGTTCCAAATTTTCCAACCATCCCTTTCACACAGAAGAACAAATGCGGGAGGTGGGCTCTTTAATGGTCAGAAAAAGGAATGACACCCTGATGTCAGATAGCAGGAGTATGGAGAATGTGGGGGAAGTGGAAGGATGTGGGCACCGCGGGGTTAATCCCCAGCTGTCCCCAGAGGCCTCCCCCTCAAGCCGGGGTCTTTGGGGCAGGAAGTCCCTGAGAGAGTGGAGGAAGGGAGATAGTATTGTCAGCCTCAGGCCACTAGGGAGAGATTATGGGGAATCAAGGGGAGGTGAGAATGGGGGGGATCCAGTAGGGTCCTCCAGCCCACACTGGCCCCGCCCTCAGGTGAGCCCAGGAGTTTTGAGGGGGTAAAACAAAACCCCTGAGTCCCTTGGGCCCCCCAACCCAGGATTAAATTCCTGAGTAGGTAGCTCGAACAATCTGGGAAGCCTAGGTCACTGGGGGAGAGTGCTGTGACCTTGAAGCTTTCCAGCAGGCCCCCTCCTCCAACCCCACAGTTCCGATGGCTGGAGGGCGAGGGTGGTGAGAGAAGGGGGAGGCGCCCTGGTGGGAAAAGCAGCCGGCCCACAGCGATCCTGCCCCCCCCCCACACACACACCAGCTGTCTCGACAGGTGAGTCAGGAAGACAAAGGCCCCCATTCCCCCAGCTGCCGCGCCCCCTCCCTCTCTGTGCCGCACAGGTGGGGGAGAGGTGCCGCCCTTCTGGCCCGGGGCCGGGGAGCCGCCCTAGGCACCCAGCGCGCCATCGGTCCTAGGCACGGCGTCTTAAGCAGATGGTGGGTATGGAGCGCGGGGGATGGGAGTCCCAATCAGACCCTCGAGGCTGCGTCTGGGTCCATCCGCACCAACCTCCTCCAAAAGATGAGAGCCCCTCCAAATTTAGGGGCTTAAGTATCCTCGAAGTAAGGAGCAAGGTCCCACCTGGGAAGGCTTTCCAGCTTCACGTAAAGGGGAACCCCGCAAACCAAGGTCTAAGTTTTAATCTCTCTTCCAGGTGCCAGGGACCCCCAAACTGGCCCCCAAGTCCCTCTCGGAGCCCGAGTTGAGATTTAGGGGACGTCTAAACCCTGCATAAATCCTGGCCTCCTCGCGGGGAGCATCTGCCAACTTGGAGGTCCTCTGAAAAAGTCTTAAAAATTCGGGAGTCCTCGGAACGCCCCCAAATCTGAGGGCTCCCAGGAGAACTTCATCGGCACCACCCCGAACCTTGAGAGTCATGGGGAAGTGGTCAATATTTGGAGCTCATCCAAGGGGGTTCGGTCTCAAATCCGAGGCTCCCAGTGCCCGGTCCCCAAATTCCAGCCCGGAGCGAGTCGGGGGGAGGGGACAAAGGCGGGGCGGGGAGCCGCGCCGGGCGGGGAAGGGTCTGGAGGCATTGGAGGCTCACCTCATGGCTGATCCGCGGGCGGGCGGCGCACCCACAGAGCGGGTGCTCCCGGGGCGCCCCTGGCTCGAGGTTCAGGGGTTCGGGACTGGCTCCAGGTTCTGCTCAGTCTCCCCAAGGGTCCCGCCCCATAGAGTCCGGCTTCCTGGGGAAAACGTGGACGGGGTCGGGGCGGGTCCTCAGGCACCTCCTCCCTCTGGGGGTTTGTTAGATCGGGGTCCCTGCGGCAGAAATGGGGTGCGGCGTCCCCTCACGGCGCGCCCCCTTGGCCAGCGGCTGCTACAATGTTACTCTTACTACTGTACTTCTCTTCGCTACATTTCGTTCCAAAATTCCACTCCCCGTACCCACAATTCCCTGCGCCTTAAAGGGGCCGCCAACAAATCAAGGCGGGGGGGTGGGGTGGAGGACGCTTAAAAGGGCAACGCGACACACTAGACCCGCTATTTCCCTCTTCCCCAACGTTACTGAGTGGGGATGCAAGCCGAGGGGCACTTTCACATTAGAGGGAAAGCCTGGTGGAGGGAAAGAGATCCTTCCTTGATACCTAGTGCTCCCCCACAATGGGAATTCTTAGGGAGATCTAAATGGGAGCACAATTTGTTCTCCTCCTCCCCATCGACTTCTTCATTACTTTGCATTCTGCTCAATTTGGGGAGGGGGCGAGGAGGACCCTCTGGTTAAGCATGGATTCTCTCCAATTTTCTCCCTTAAATCCTCCCTTCTGACGCCCCAACGTTTCTCTTCTCTGTCAATTTATAAGATGTTAATAAAGGGGAACCCTCTCCCCTCGCAGGAGGGAGATGGCTGGAAGGGCCCCACCCTTGTCACTGCCCCCCGCCCGGCCGGAGAAGGTGAGGAGGAAGTGGGCCGAGGGGGCGCGGCCCGCCGCTGACTCACAGCCGCAGGGGGTGGGGGTGCGGCGCTGGACCTAGGTGGGGATGAGACACCGGGATCCGGGGTGGATAAAGCCCTTGGCTCCCTCCCCACGTACATCCTGCCGTTACTCAGTTTCTCCTGCAGCGAATGGCGGGATCATCCCGCAATCTGAGGGCACGGAGGCGGGAGACCCTTCCTAGTACCCGCTCGGGCGAACCCCTTCCCCCACGCGCAGGCTGCAGTCAGAGCCCCGACACCCTCCGAAGCTTCCGCAGCCTGTCCCGCCGGCTCCGCCTTACGAGACGTCACTCAAGTGGTTCCGCCTCCCCTGTACAGCGCCACCTGGGCTGGGTAAGGTGCCCTAGTCAGGGACCGAAGCCTGGGAAATCAATCAGTTTGACGGTTACAAATGGGTAAACTGAGGCCTAGAGGCAGGGAATCAATCTGGGCTATAAGCCCTCTTGCTTGAACCCCCCAGAACTCCAGTGGCTTTTGGTGCAAGGTATGAGTGTAAACCAAACAATTCTCAGGGTCCAGTTGACTAGGTGAGCAAGTCAACCTTCCCAGCCTTTGTCCAGCCGAATCCTTTTCCTGGATGCTGTCCTGTTCTCGCCCATACTTTTAGGATATGTTCTGACACTAATTCTTCTCTGCAAAATTGAGTAATCTTCTCCCCTACTCCACCTCACTCTGGGAGACTTGAACCCTGACCCACCTGGGTTATAATTGTTTCTCTGTGTGTCTCCTCAGGCTGTGAGATCTTTGGGAGCAGGTGTAGACTTGATCTATTTCTGTGCCTCACTAACCCAGCCAGGCTCAGAACAGCATCTCAACACACGTATTCAACTGAATGAGAACCCCAGTTCTGTGTGACCTTGGGCAAGTCCTTTCTCCTTCCTGAGGCTCAGCTTTCCCATCTGTGAAGTGGGAAGAGTGGCGCTTCTCTGTGCCACCTGCTCTACTTTGTCTAAAAAGGTCCAATTAGTAAATACTTTAGGCATAGTCTCTTTCACATATTTCTTTTACAGCCCTTTAAAATGTAAAAACCACCTGGCCAGTGTGACACTGGTTGAGCATCAACCCATGCACCAAGAGGTCACCAGTTCCATTCCTGGTCAGGGCACATGCCCAGGTTGTGGTCTGAAACCCCAGTGGGGAGCATGCAGGAGGCGGACAGTCGATGTTCTCTCATCGATGTTTCTGTCTCTTTCCCTCTCTCTCTCTTCCTCTCTCTCTAAAACCAATAAAGAAGCCCTGGCTGGTTTGGCTCAGCAGTTAGAACGTCAGCCTGCCGACCAATGAGTTGCGGGTTTGATTCCGGTCAAGGGCATGTATTTCGATTGTGGTTCGTCCCCAGCTCCAGTCTGGTGGTGCTGGAGGCAAGCAGTTGATGTGGCTCTATCACATCAATGTTCCTCTCTATCCCTCTCTGTCTCTGTCTCTGTCTCTGTCTCTCTCTGTCTCTCCCTCCCTCCCACTCTATCTGATGATAAATAGGGGGGGAAAAAGTATCCTCAGGTGAGGAATAAAAAAATAAATAAATATTTTAAATAAATAAATAAAAGGTAGCCCTGGCCGGTTTGGCTCAGCGGTTAGAGCATCGGCCTGCAGTCCAGAGGGACCTGGGTTTGGTTCCTGCTAAGGGCACGTGGCTCCGTTGCAGTTTGTTCCCGGCCCTGGTTGGGTGGTGCAGGAGGCAGCCACTCGATGTGTCCCTTTCACGTCAATGTTTCTCTCTCTCTCCTTCCCACTCTATCTGAACAAAAAATGAAAAAAATGTCCGCGGGTGAGGATAAAAAAAGTTTAAATAAATAAATAAAATGTAAAAACCATCCTCAGCTCAACAGTTGTGCAAAACAGGTGGCAAGAACTCTGCACTAGAGAAACCCTTGCATATGTACAGGAGCCTGATCAAGAATCATTATAGCAGCAGTGATGTGAAGGCAAGAAATTGAAATAGTCTAAATGTCCATCAAGAGGAGGATGAATAACAAAACCATTGTACATCCCTATCTGAAGTACTGGGCAGCAGCTAAAAAGAATGAGGTTTCCGGCTGGTGTGGCTCAGTGGTTAAGCATCTACCCATGCACCAGGAGGTCGCCAGTTCCATTCCCGCTCAGGGCACATGCCCAGGTTGTGGGCCCCGTAGGGGGCATGCAGGAGGCAGCCAATCAATGTTCTCTCTCATCGATGTTTCTCTCCCTCTCATTTCCTCTCTCTAAAATTAATAAAGGGGATCCCTGGCTGGTTTGGCTCAGCAGTTAGAGCGTCGGCCTGCGGTCCAGAGAGACCAGGGTTTGGTTCCTGCTAAGGCCGTGTACAGCGGTTGCAGTGTGTCCCTGGCCCTGGTTGGTCCTGCGGGTGGCAGCCACTCTACGTGTCCCTTTCATGTCGATGTTTCTCTCTCTCTCTCTCTTCCTCTCTCTCCCTCCCACTCTGTCTGAACAAAAAATGGAAAAATGTCCTCAAGTGAGGATAAAAAAATAAAAATAAAATAAAAGCAATAAAGGGGAAAAAAGATAATCAACCAATGAATGCATAAACGAGTGTAACAACAGATGGATGTTTCTCTCTCTCTCTCCCAAATCAATAATTTTTTTTTTAATGCCAAGTTTGATCCTATCTCTAGGCTTTCACACTGGTCTGCCTTGGACACTCTTCCCTGGGGTATTTATATGGCTGAATGCTTCTCTGTCAGGTCTCTGCTCAATTTTCCCCTCCTCGGAGATATTCCCTGATCCTCCTGTCTAAAGCATCCATCCCAAGTGGCTGAGGGGTGGGGGATAGAGAAAGACTTCTCATTGTGCACCCTTTTGTACGCTTTGAATTTGAACCAAGTGAACTTATTACCATAAAAAAATGAATAACAATTTAAAAACCAAAGTAGCTTTTCTTATATCCACCTGTTTTATTTCCCTTGAGACACTTGTCAGTGTCTGAGATGATCTTATTTATCAGTTCCCTTGTTTGCTGCCTCCCCACACACACTGGGAGGTGGCCCCTATAAAAGATAGGAATCTCAGTGAGTCCCCCTGGTTGATGGCTGTGAGCAGGTACCCAATATATTTGCCAAATGACTGGGCAAATGATATTTGGGGTGTTTTTTCTATAAGAAAAACATATCTTGAATCATATAATTATAATTTAATAATAAAAACTCTTGTCCAGCGAGTGTGGCTCAGTGGTTGAGCATCGACCAAGAGGTCGCCGATTCAATTCCCTGTCAGGGCACATGCCCAGGTTGTGGGCCAAATCCCCAGTGGAGTGCATGCAGGAGGGGGCCAATTGATGTTCTCTCTCATCGATGTTTCTATCTCTCTCCCTCTCACTTTCTCTCTCTCTAAAATCAATAAAAGGAAAACAATTTAAAAACAAAAACAAGCCCTGGCCAGTTTGGCTCAGCAGTTAGAGCGTCAGCCTGTGGTCCAGAGAGACCCGGGTTCTGTTCCCGCTAAGGGCGCTTACCTCTGTTGCAGTTTGTCCCCGGCCCTGGTTGGTCCTGCGGGTGGCAGCCACTTGATGTGTCCCTTTCACGTGGATGTTTCTTTCTCTCATCCTCCCTCCCTCCCTCCCTCCCTCCCTCCCTCCCTCCCCCCCTCTCTATCTGAACAAAAAGTGGAAAAAAATTGTCCTTGGGTGAGGATGAAAAAAAATAAAAACAAAAACTCTCCTCTAACTCCCCCAAAACAAATGAAAAGTGGGAAAGGAAGAGAACATTATTAAACTTGGTGATCTCTCAGAATCTGTTCAGCTCTGAATAGTTCACAAACATTTTGTTTGGGATTTTTTTTTTTGGCCATCTAGATGGTGAGTGGAATTTCCCCCTCATAAGACATTTTGTGAGAGGGAAGTAGGAGAAGGGGAAATAACATTCTGGGGTTCCTCTCTCCGCTCGTCTTCCTTCCGCTGATCTGCGTAGCTGGGTAAGAAGAGGTTTCTAAGTTCCCTTGGGGCCCCAAAGGACAACAGAGGGGCCTCAAAGAATGACAGCTGTCAGGCCTGGAAGTCCAAGGCAGAGCTTGAATGGGTGCCAGTGGCCTTCCCAGCCCCATTCCGCACTTTCTGTAACAAAATGTAAGAGATGGTGAATAGGCACCCTTCTTGCCTCTCAGTATCTACTCCCCTATAGTCTGCAAACAACACTCCTATTTTCCTTTGGGGGACCACCATTCCCCATCTCTCAATTCGTCAGGTTTGGATGCACTGAACCCCCAACCCTAAGCACTTGGGTTGGGCTTGTAACCATAGTCTGGCCAGCCAGAGACACAATGACTGGCAGGCACGTGACCGGGTGCAGCCATTTCTCTCAAGTCCCGCCCATCTGCCAATGAGAACCAGCTCTGGAACCATTGCTGCAACTACTGCGAAACTGGTGCCTGCTCTCCACGGTGGATGTTGGGCTTGTGGGATGTGAGGCTGGAGCTGCAACAGTCAGCTACCTCAAGCTGAGACCCTGCCTGGGAATGAAGTCAACTCAGAGGAAATAAAACTGAGAGATGGTTCCTGAAGACATCATCTGACAACTGGATGCAGTCATGCCTTAAGTCCCTGAACTCTTCAATTACATGGCCCAGTAAATTTCCTGTTTTGCTTTCCCAGTTTGAATTGGGTTTCTGTCACTCACAACTCAAACACTCCTGACAAATACCTCTTTCTGCTGCTCAGAAACTATCAACAACTGCCCTCCTCTAAGTGGGAATAGCAAAACTCTCTTCTGCTATGCAAAACCTCTGGGCTCTGACCCCAGCTTCCTCCTTCCCATTTCCACCCTACTCCTTCCTTTATGTGGCCCCACCCACGCCTCTTTGGACATCTCCAATTCTTTAGGCTCTCTGGGCCTATTCACAACCTCTCTCCAAGATCCATACCATCCTCAGGGATATCCTGATCTGCGGTGCATCCAGGCCTAGTTTGCAACATTCCTTGAATTTTTTTGCCTTATTCCTGGATGGAGGGGGTGGTGCTTGGAATGAAGAGGCTTTACAGAGCATTGCAAGGGGCACGTTTCTTGGAGGGGAAGCACAGTCTCCTCTGCTTCTGCTTCCCCACCATCATACCTCACACAATGTTACAGACCAGAAGTGAGACTATATCAATATATCAGGCAAGTCCCATGTCCTCTCTGGCCTCAATTTCCCTATCACTAAAGGATGACGGGGGGCTAGATGACATTCTTCTAAGAGAAACATTCAAGAACATAGGGTCTTTACCTCCAAGTGCTCCCCTGAGGCCTGGAAGAGCTGAGAATAAGCTTCAGCGATGACAGTGGCCCTGGAGAGCAGAGAGAGGCCCTTAGAAGGAGACCCTCCTCTGGCCACCTCTCTCCCCATTCTACCCCATCCCACCCAGACTCACTTGCAATAGAGCCCTCCCCCAGGAGGTAAATCTGGGATGTCCTCAGAGGCCAGAGTCTTGAAAACCTTGTTCAGGGTGGGAGGCTCCTGGGCAGAGAAACACAGCTCTGAGAAGGCAAGGGTTATGGGAGTGCCCCTGCTTGCCGACCACCCTTCCCGCTGAGCTTCTAGAGTTTGCCCACCAGCGACCCTGCGGCCCAGGGCTGCATCCAGCGCTAGCTCCTTCCTGATCGCCTCCTCACAAGGCCTGGGGGCCCCCGGGAAGCAGACCAGGATGCAGGTCATGTTGTCCAGGCTGCCCTGAAGAAGGTGGAGAAAAGAGGGCCTGGTGGGACCTGGCTGAATGTCCCAGGACGGGGGTTCATGCTCTTAGAAGTAGAGCTCCCTAATCTCAGGATTCTTGGACCTTCCTCCCCAATTGGGTTATGTTCATTTCTCTCAAGTCCCGCCCATCTGCCAGTCTAAAGAAGCCATTTGAAAGGGAATAATCCCATAGACCACGCCCCTCACTGTCCTAGCCCCACCCGATCAAAGAGCCACGCCCCTTTCCCCAAACCCCTTCCTCTCTGCTGTCTAGCTGTGCCTCCTAGTACTATTTATGCCTCAAGACCCACTCCCGCTTGGCCGGGTAGGTCAGTTGGTTAGAGCGTCATCCCGATACACCAAGGTTGCAGGTTCGATCCCCTCCTAACACCATTGGCTTCTCCCCCTCAGTGATCACAGGCCCCGCCCAGGACCTTGCACAGGCACGTGTCCAACAGCTGCGCGCAGAGAAGCTCTGGGGCCAGGCCCAAGCAGAGGCGTGATGCCACCAGTCCTGCCAGGGCAGCACCAGACATCGCATCCCACACACCATCGGAGGCCAGGAGCATGAACTCGTCCTCGGCCCGCCGTGCCAGGGCGGTCACCTCAGGCTCCGCGGAAACAAGCTGCAGCTCAGGGGGCCTTCCTGGAGCCTCTTTGTAGGCAAAGTCGCCCAGCGCTCGCGACACTGCCAGCGAGCCCTCGAGGCGCCGGCGGCAGATGGTGCCGCCCGCGTCATGGATACGCTCGCGTTCCCGGGGCCGGAGGGGTCGATGGTCCTCCGTGCTGAAGGCCACAGCTCCTGCGCGGCTCAGCACCGCGCGAGAGTCACCGCAGTGTGCCAGGTACAGAAAGCGCGGGGAGACGAGCAATGCCACCGCGGTGGAGCCGCCCGGCTCGCCACGGGGCCAGAGCGAGCGCAGGCGTGTGTCTGCGCTCAAGAAGGCGCGGCGAAGCGCCTGGCACACGCCCTCGGGCTCGCCAGGCGCCGGGCCCAACGCTTCGAGCACGTGGCCCGGCAGGTGGCGCGCGCCAAAGAGGGCTGCTCGCGCCCCGCCGTGGCCGTCGAGGACAGCAAAGAAAGCCCAGCCCGTGGGCAGCCCGGGTAACGCAAGCCAAGCGCAATGCGCGTCCTCCATGTGCGCGCGCCAGCCCTGCGCTGCGCTCGCCCCGAAGCGCAGGTCCCAAGATGCTGCCGCACCGCCGTGCGGCCGCTGAGTGCATCGCGGCGCGTCCAGGAGGAACCGAGGTCTGTCGGGAGCCCTGCGCCCCTCCTTCTCCTCCTCCTTCGCCTCCTCTTTCTTGCAAGCTGGCCAGAGGAGACGTTCCAGCAGGCGGACAAGGGCCGCCATCCTTCGGTCCTGGGATCAGGAAGGCTCCACCCACTGCACCTGCCCGCCCTCCTTGCATTAATCCCTTCCACTGTGAGATTTTAAACCGCCGAAATCTCCTTACTATGCCCTTGATCTGCACTCAAATCGAGTCACTAGAAGAGATTGGACTCCTGGGTCTCCTTTCTCTCGCACCTTCAAAGAGAGGTTTGGGATCAGGGTCAGGAAAAAATAGCAAACTAGCATTCACCACGTGTTACACACTATTTTACACCATCATTTCCGATTTACCGAAGAGGAAACTGAGTCGCAGAACCAGCAGGGACACCAACTCTAGAATCCATGTTCTCAACACTACAGTCTTGGCTTCAGTCCACACCAGCCCTGCTCCATCCAAGCTCCAACCACCTCAGTGCTCCCGCCCCCGTTTTTAAATCTATAAATCCTTTATTATTTTAGTTCGACCCCTCCCCTTCTGGATTTCATCCCAGATCTTCGGTTGCTTCTATTCCAGGTCCCGCCACTCTTGCAAACCCAGAGCCTTAAACTCTTAATATTTTCAGTCTTGGCCCCACTTCTAGCTCCGCCTCTTAACTACAGGCCAGCCTGGACATTCTAACTAGCCAAAAGCACGCGCCCTCTCTCCAGGTTACGCCCACCTTCTAGGCTACGCCCCCCCTCCCCTCCCCGTGCCTGTTCTCTTGTTCCTTTTAGGCCAAGCTTGTTGTTCCTGTCTCTGACTAGCCCCGCCCAACTATAGGAATACGTAATTTTAAATTGGTTTAAGTCCCACCCATGTCTGAGCTCCTCCCCTGGTCTCTAAAAACTTTCTGGGTAGTTTCTATCCGCCCCTTTTCCCACTCCCTCTCAAAATCTAGACTCAAATCCTACCTGTCCTCAGTGCCACCCCTAGCTCCGCTCTTCTGAGATCCATGCCCCCACCATTCTTTCCCCAACCCTTCACCCAACCGTAGGCTCCTCCCCTCTTCCCCTACAGGCCGCGCCCCCTTTCATCTAGACCCCGCCTTTCAGGTTGCCTTTTACTTCTAGGCCCCTTAGCCTATCCTCCTAACCCCGCCCCTCGAGAATAAAACCACGCCCCTCACCCCGCGCCCATCGTGTTGCCCCGCCCCCTGCCCGCCCTCAGGTTCCTCCCAGCTTGTCCTCTGGCCCCGCCTCCAGCTCCGCGCTGCAGTGCCTACCCTACAGCGGCCCCGCCCGCCCCCGCCGAGCCGAGCAGAGGGCGGCGGCAGCGGCGGCGGCTGCTGGAGCAGCCGGGGAGGAGGAGGCGACAAGGATGGCAGCGGCGTCGTGGGCTCGGTGGAGATGAGTGCCCGCGGCCCCAGGCCCAGGGCGGCGTGGCCGGAGTGGGCGGGGGTCCCGATGCAGGCCCGAGGGGGGCCATGGGGCAGGTCCTGCCGGTCTTCGCCCATTGCAGTGAGTAGGGGCAATCTCGGGCCTGGTGGTGGAGCCCAGAGGCCTGGGTGGGCTCCTCTCCGGTATCCTCTCTGCGCCCGGCCGCGGGAAACAGGGATGGGGGAGGAGGCGAAGGAGACAAAGGATGCTCTCCCCTCCCCCCGCGATCTAGCGTCAACGGGGCGACCTGACCCGGAAGACTTGAGTGACACAGAGTGGAGTTAGGGGGCACTGAGATAATTGGCTTGGAGGCGCATTGGGCGCTAGGATGTGCTGCTGGGCCTCGCCTGGGGATGAGGACATTTGCCGGGAGCTGTCCCCATTCCTGGTGCTGGCCTCAGTCGGCGTGGAGGGCAGTTGAATGGAAGGGTAGAGCTAGGATAGAGAAGACGGGTCTGACCCCCTCATCACCCACCTTCGCATCCCACCTCCGTTTTGTGCCCTGACTCACAGGCAGCCCGGACCTCGCCCATATTGTCCAACTCCTCTCCCTGGGAAACAGCCATTCCTGGGTTGGGGCCAGGACTCCTGAGTCCTTAACAGGCTTTACCAATGATTAGTAGTAACACTGGAAGAGACTCACTCTGCTCCAGCCCTCCGATTCCTGGCATCCGATTCCCCTGCTAAGGATACAAGGTGGGAGCGGAGGGCATCTGATTCCAATTTCCAAAGGGCATTAGGCATCTCCTGTAGGCCAAGCCCCAAGTTCAATACTTCTGCGGGGCTGGATTTCACAACTCAAAACGCATTGTCTGATCCTCATAATCTCTGAGCCCAGGGCTCTAATAGTCCTTGTCTAACATTCTCTTCCCTATACTCCCGTAGTTCTAACAGCTAGGGATTTCAACACTCTTAGATCTAGCCAAATGCATGTCTGGGAAGTCCAGGTGCCAAAATTCTAAGAACTTGTCTTTACTTAGGCTTATGAAGAATGGCCCCATGATCCCCCGGCCCCCTTCACCTTACCCATTGTCTCTTATCTCTCACCCATCCTCCCCTCAGTTACTCTGCTCCAATCATACCTTTGTACCTTTCTGTTCCTCAAATATACCAAACAATACCTGCCTCAGAGCCTTTGTACTGAGCTTTTCCATCTGCCTGGAGGATTCTTCCCTAGATATATGTATGGATTCCTCATTCCATTCAGATCTCTGCTCAAATGTCATCCTATCAGAGAAGTCTTCTGACCACCCTACCTGCCTGTAGCACCTTTTCCCTTACCCAGCTTTATTCTTCACATACTTAAAGCACCCAGCATTATATATTTAATTGTTTATTTTCTGTCTCTATAAAGTATAAGCTTTATGAGGGCAGGGGTTTTGTCTGTTTTGTTCGCAGTTGTGTCCTCGGGATCCAAAACAGTGCCTGGCACATAGTGGGTACTTGATAAATGGTTGTTGAAAGAATGAATGAATTGAAACCTAAAATTTCTAACTTGAAGTTTCTGAGATTAGGATTGTTGGATTTGAACTTCTAAGACTGAGCTTTTGATAGAAATGACAGATTTTACAGTCTGTATTCAGAACATTCCAAAGGCCCTGTGATTCAAATATTCTAAGATTCCTTAATTTGGACCACCCAAGTTTCCAGGACTGGCACACATCAGTGATTCGGACAGTCTAAACTTCAAAGAATCTTCGATTTTTTCCCCCTCTCGCAGAAGAAGCTCCATCCACAGCCTCTTCTACCCCTGACTCCACGGAAGGTAAGTGGAGGGGAGAATTGTGAAAATGTGACTTGAAAAGGGCTTGCCCTGGCCGGTTTGGCTCAGCGGTTAGAGCCTCGGCCTGCGGTCCAGAGAGACCCGAGTTCGGTTCCCGCTAGGGGCATGTACCTCGGTTGCAGTTTGTCCCCGGCCCTGGTTGGTCGTGCGGGTGGCGGCCACTCGATGTGTCCCTTTCGCATGGATGTTTCTCTCTCTCTCTCTCTCTTTCTCTCTCTTCCTATCACTCTATCTGAACAAAAAAATGGAAAAATGTCCTCGGGTGAGAATAAAAAAAAAAAGAAGAAGAAAAGGGCTCGCAGCTGGATAGGAGGGTTGAGGAGAGTGGGTCAGGGTCCTGCTAGGAGGAGTTCACGTCCTCTTTTGCTCACTGCAGGAGGAAACGACGACTCGGATATCCGGGAGCTGCATACAGCCCGGGAATTCTCGGAGGATGACGAGGAAGAGACCACCTCGCAGGACTGGGGCACCCCCCGGGAGCTGACCTTCTCCTACATTGCCTTCGATGGGGTGGTGGGCTCCGGAGTGCGCCGGGATTCAGCTGCCCGCCGCCCCCGGCCCCAAGGCCGCTCAGTCTCGGAACCACGAGACCCACCCCCTCAGCCTGGCTTGGGCGACAGCTTGGAGAGCATCCCCAGCCTGAGCCAATCTCCGGAGCCCGTGCGCCGGGGAGACCCTGACACTGCCCCTCTCGCCGAGCGCCCCCTGGAAGACCTGGGGCTCCAGCTGGACCAGCTGGACTGGGCGGTCCGAGGAGCCGGGTCCGGGGAGGATTCTGCCACCAGTAGCTCCACCCCGCTGGAAGACGAGGAACCCGACGGATCAGAGGCTAGAGAGGCTAGGAAAGGTGATATGTCCCGAGATTCTGGGACTAAAGGCATCAGGGGTGGGTAATCTCTTCTCAGGGCCCCTCCAAGGTGAAAGCTCATGGCCTTCTCTCTCTAATGTGCCAGAACTGGACCTACAACTCGGACTCGCTCAGTCCTCGCCGCCCGAAGTCTTGACTCCACAGTCCAGCCCTGGCTCTGGAACCCCCCAGGCCCGTACCCCATCCCCACCCGAATCTCGGGATTCGAACTCTTGGCCTGATGAGCCCTCGCTGGACGAGAAAGAGGAAGAGCCATGGGGGCAGCTGGATCGGGAGCCAATCACGGGGCAGTGCCTTGTTAGCACGGACCAATCAGAATTCACATTGGAACCACACCTTCTAGGTAAACTGCTCAAATAAAGGTGCTCCTTTGGATTAGAGGGAGGGTGGGACGGTTGCAATTTAAAACTTTTTTTTCCCTTTATTGATTTTTAGAGAGAGAGGAAGAGAGAAACATCGATGAGAGAGAATATGGATGGGTCGCCTCCTGCATGCCCCACACTGGGGATTGGGCCCACGATCCGGGCATGTGCCCTGACCGGGAATCAAAGCGGCGACCTCTTAGTGCATGGGTTGACGCTCAAGCACTGAGCCGCACCGGCTGGGCTGGGAGGGTTGCAATTTAAAGGGACCAATTTCACGAAGGAACTATTGCCTGGACATTATCAATTCAACCCTTAACATTTTTTATTCCATTATCTTTGATGGCCATGTTTTGTTTTTTTGTACAGATCTCCTCCCACTTGGGAAGTTAGTCCTCCCATGAGCATTAGGATTGGCTCTTTTGGAGTGCTTCCCCAAGAGGCTGATTTTGGGCAGGTCAAAGCCCTGAAAAAGCTCTCTTCATGATATGGCTGTGGGACATTTATAAGTAAACTTCTATGCCTTTTAAAAACTCTCCTCTTCCCTGACCACATCCATTAGCCAGTTGCAAATGGACCCTGCCTTAGTTTAAAATATGCTCAGCCACCACGAACCGCCAAGGGTTGCTTATAGAGATCACTGCTTTTGGCTGTTTACAAAGAGAACCACCCCTTTTTGGAATTGTCCCCACCTCTATGGAGAGCCATTGGCTGGGTACAAAGGGCCCCGCCCCTCCGCTCCTTCCCTCCGGGTTCCACTGAAGAGGGCAAAATCCCCGAGAAGCAGTGGTGTCCGCAACCTCTCACTCGGAGCAGAGATGGGGAGTAAAGGTGGGCTTGCGGGGCGGGCTGAGACGGGGTCTGGGGGACGGCGGAAAGGGATCCAGATGCGCTATCTCCCTCAAATCTGGGGGGATGTTTTCTATTGGTCCCAGATTCCCCAGAGCTGCAGGCTGAGGCTGGGGAACTTGGGGGGTATCTAGGAAGAGCGTGGAGGGAACGTGGGGTACCCTCTCTCCCAACACAGGGCTTTGGAGCCGAAGAGCAGGAAGGCCCCCTCCCCCAGCCTCAGGCCCAGGCGGCGCTGTCACTCAGTAGCTGGATGGGCCAGCACAGCTGCAGGCGAGGCCCCCTCCCCCCAGCGTGCCTAAACTTAGCCCCCGCCTCAGGCGACCCGGCCCCTCCCCCACCCACTGGCACCTGCCTCGAGGAGCCTGCGGGGGAGGTCCCTGCGCGTTTGGGTAGGGGGGAGGCCTGACCTAGCTAAAGGTAGATGGGAGGATGTGTACAGGGAGGATAAAGAAGGAAGGGGTCAGACTCTGAGAAGAACCAGTCGGGATGGGTCAGAGTTTTATTGGGGTGAGGGTAAGAGGATGAAAAGTGTCTGGAAAGAAGTAGAAAGGTACTAGGCTCCTGGTTCAGGGCTCAAATGGGAGCAGATTATTGGGAGGGCTGATATGGGTGAGATGAAGGTCATTGGACAGGGCTCAGGTCGCGCTTGGGAGGTGAGTTTAGGGTCTTAGAAAGAGGTCAGAAATTTGAACTAGGGTTTAGGAAGGAGGATGGTGTT